TGTAGTCTCAGCAAAACTCGGGGGGCGGGGGGGGGCAGGGCAGAACGGGGGCCGAGGCTGCAGTTAACCCAGCACAGAGATCTCAGGAAAGTGTCTCGGCCTCCTTCCTGCGGACGAGCAGCCCAGGTGCACTTCAGGCGCAGGCACCACAATCTGGCCTTGCTTGCCTGTTGTGCATTTGTGCTGGCTGCCCACCCTGCCTCGTTCACCTGCCCCTTGAAAGTAGCCTTGCCCTGGCCAGGTGGTGAGATCTGGCAGGTGCGAGGAAGCGGTTTGGCTTTGGGAGAGCAGGTCAAACTCCAGTCAAGCTGAACTGGGGGAGTGAGCACAGGAGGGGTTACACCAGCGGGTGGGGCTGAGCCGGACTTTCGAACTATGGAAACCAAGAGCAGAACCAAATGGTGACATTGGAGTCATCTCTCACCTCAGAGGTCAAGAGGAGCAAAAATGAAGCCAAGGAAAGAGAACTTTTTCCTCCTCCTCCAGGAGAGATGGCCGGTATCGGGGGTTGGGACTCTGGGCCAATTTCTCTCTCCTTCCTGTCTTCAAGGGACACGCTGGCTGCGCCTAGAGCATTCGGCTCAAGAGGAAGGAGACTTCCGCCCTGGCATCCTGTGGCTAATTCTGGGTCCGGGTCCTGATAAACCCAGTCAAGTGGCTCCTCCTCCAAGGATGGTCCTGGTTCACGAAGCCTTCTCGTCCCCTTCCCAAGAAAGCAGGTTGGGGGAGCAGGCGCCACACGTTCTGGGGAGACAGCTTGAGCAAGCGCCCTGGTTGGATCAGCCCTCGATCCCTGGCCTGAAAGGAGTCCTGTTTCGACTGAGCTGAGAAAGCCAAAGCCCTCGGGCTCGGGGGGGGGGGGGCTTCCAACAACAGGCCCAGCAGCAGGACAAGAGCTGTGCAAAGGGGGAAGTGGGGCCCAGCGCTGGGAGGCTTTACCCTCTCCCACTCTGGACCGAAGGAGGACGACAGCTAAAAGCCCCCGGGCCCCTCCGGCTGCAGGCCTCCTGCCCATCTGGTCCCTCCCTGCTTATCTCAATTCTGGTCATCTGCCAGGAGCCCTGCCCTCTGCAGCCTCTGGACTCTGCGCCCATCTGAGACCCCTGTCTTGCCCTCTCCATTTTTTCCCTTCCCACGAACCAGACAGCACACATCCTGGCAGCTTTATTTCCAGGCCGAATAGTGCCAAGACCTTTCCTCCCGTTGTCCCCTGGAAGACCTCCCAGCACATGCCAGGCCCTGGGCTGCCCAGGTCCAGGTAGGGGAAGCCCTGGCAAGGCCCTTGCCCAGGCCGTGGGCTTCCCCAAGGTCTCAGCAGCTCTCAGGAAAGGAACCGACTCCCTTCCTGAGTTGGGACACCAAGTCTCACTTGCTAAAAGCTTTCCTGGGGTTCCGGAGTTCATCATCCACTCAAACAGGAAAAGCCATTTGTGCTCACTTAGGAGCTACGCTGCCGTCTCTGTGAAGGGGGCCTCTTGCGCGGGTTGTCTCAAGCCACCTGGACTCTTTTGCAACTCCTGGGAGCCCAGGGAAGCAGAGCCCAGGGGCCCACAGGTGAGCATAGCCAGAGGCTAAAACCTGGGGCAGCCCAACCAGGAGCAGCAGGCCTGGTCATCCTGTCCCAGCTGCTGCCGGGGGCCCCCGAGATTGTCACTCCAACCAGGAGAGTGCACAGAGCCACGACCTTGGCTGCCATTTGGTGCTCGTTTGGATTCTGCAGACCAGAACTGCTGCCCCAATTAAGCAAACGATGGAAAAAGGAAAGGCATCAATCAAAGGTCGAAAAAGCCGCCTGGCACCTGACGCTGGAACCGGCGGTTCTGGGGACATTTTGCAAATTTGGAAGGAGAAAAAGCCGCCGGGCTCCAGGCTGGAGTTGGGCCAACTCAGCAAAGTCCCTTGATCCCCCCGGCGTTGGTTTTTCCTGGGCAGCGGGGCATCCAAAATCCTCTCGTAGATATCGGAGGGGAGGGGGCTGTCGGACCAACCGGGAGAAAGTTGACGGTGCGCCGCCTTCTCCTGTGGCCGGGTCGGGAAGAGCGCGGAGGCTCGGGAAAAGCGGCGAGTGGAGCCTCGCCCCAGGCGGCGCCCCTTCCCTTCCGCGCTCGGCCGCGTCCAGCAAGCCAGGCTTGGAAGGGGCCAAGGACGCCGAAGCTCCTCTATCCTCGCACAAGACCAGCGCGGTTCTGCAAGGCGAACCGCTCCGGTCGGTCGCGAGAGAAGCCGCCGGTTGGGGAACAGGGCAAAGCGCGAATAGCCGCCCCCCTTGGACTTACCCGAGCCAGTTCGTGCGCTCCGCTCTGCAAAGCTCAACCGCCGGTCTGGCTGGCGCGCTCCGGGCGCGGTCCAGCAGGAAGGGGGCGGCTCTGACCGACCCTCCATCCCGTGGGCGTCCAAGGCGGCCGCGGCGGGGCCAGGCAGGGTCTGGGCGGCGTCGAGCCTGCTCCGAGGCAGCCCCGCCCAGAGAGAGACGGTGCGACCGAAGCGCCCTTCCGACCCTCCCTCCCTCCGCCACAGAAGGCCCGTCGAGCGGGGAGGGCGGCGCGAGTCACGATCTGCCAGGCGGAAGAAGCGACCAGGCGAGAGAAGGGACGCTCTCCGCAAAGACATTCAGGGAATCCAAATACACCTCTTCACCCTGGCAGGTTTTGTACTTATTGTATTTTTAATCTGTCTTTTAATTCTGATTCTGCTTTTAAATGTTGTTTGTCCTTGTCAGTGAAAACAGGTAAGTAGATGCCCATGTCAAATGATGGCAGCAGTAACGTCCGATTCACTTAGAAGAATTCAGTTTCCTTTGGGAGTAACAGAAACATGCACAACCCTGCACTCCTCTAATCCCTCCAGCAGCGCAGAGGAGGCTGGAGTTGAAATGCTAAGCCAGATTCAGAGGGGCTGTAAGGCAGGCGGTGGGCCAGCCAGCAGGGCCTGTGAACCAATCCGCTGCCCACTGAAGAAAGGCGGCCTGTGCCAGCCAGGGCTGCTGGGGAAGAGTCTCCAGCCTTGCAGTGGGTGAATCACCCGCTGCTGTCAAGCCAAGAGGGGAAAGCAGCAGTTGGGCGTGTGCTTGGTCTGGAGGCCTTGGGGGCAGGAAAGGAGAAGCCCCTGCAAAGACCCTCTTCCTCTCCTTCCTTCTCAGATACACAGAACACATGCAATTCCAACATGAAAGTGTTGAATTCTGTAAAGCAATTTAACAGAATGCAGCTTTTTCACTTTTTAAAATACTTGGTGCTCATATAATAAATTACCCTCTTGACTGCCCAACTTGTGGGAATCACTCCCTCTCTACTCCCATAAGGAGACCAGCCTGGTGAAGCTCCCCCACCCAGGCAGATCTGGAGGGCTCACCAGGAGAGGAAAACCAGGGGTGCTGTTCTGGAGAAGACTCAGTAAAGTCTCTCTCTCTCAAAAGCAGGCATTCTGGATCCCAACATCAAAGTCCTGGCAGGTCCCTTCCCTCCAACTGAGACAGGTCAAGCCCTTTGTGTAAATAAAGTCCCCGGCTGAGCTCCAGAAGAGCCTCTTTAGGCCACTGCCATAGGCTAGGTTGGTCACTTGTCTTTTGAGAAAGCTTCCAAAGAGGGAGCCAGCCGTGTGAAGAGTTGGGAAGATGCAATGAAGACTTTGTTCTCTGCGGCAGCGGCTCTTTCCCTGAGATGGTCAGCTCCCATTTCCAGCAGGCAACCAGGGACCATAAGTTTCTGTGACAGTGTCCTCGTAGTTCCTGCACTCCCACAAGCACATCCATGGGACAGCCAAGACAGTATGCCAGATCTGGCACCTGATCCCCTGGTGAGCTGAAGGCCTCCTTAAAGTAGGGGAGGCTGGTGGGCAACCCCAGATTGCAGTCAAACATGGAGGTGCCCATGTCCTCCAAGACCCCCTCCAGGCTATCTTCCAGAAGGTAGCCACCTGGGCTCATAAGCTCCAGGGTGCTAGAAGGGCAGGCATGGGGGATCCATCCAGCCTCAGGGCTGAGCAAAGACGGTGTGTGTGTGTGGGGGGCGCTCTTTGGGTTGACCAATACCAAAGGCCCAGAAGGCAGAGGAATCCACATCGGAAAGGAGGAGGGCGCCCAGGGGTGGGGAGAGGGAAGTGGGTGACATCAGCCTCCAGCTAGGCTCTGACCGGCTGCAGGTCAGGGCACTGGGCATCGAGCTGCCCTCAGAAGGGTCCTCCTGGCCTAAAGCAGCCTCGGAGCAAGGGCGACCCCCAGAGGCGGCGCTCGCGGGCGCCTTTCCCCGCGTCTGAAGACGGGCCGGTTGCGAGCCTGGAGGCGGCGGGAGGGGTCGGCGGATCCCCGGCGCAGGACGGAGAACTTCGGCAGAAGAGTCGGGGGAAGTTTCAAAAGCACGCCCACTTTTTGAAAGATTTGGTCAACGGAAGGCAGCGAAGACACCTAAAGCTCGTGCCGTTTTTCCTCATCACAACCACCCTGTGAGGTGGGCTGGCCAAGAGAGCAGGACCGGCCCAGAGTCAAGGCCAAAAGGGAGGACTAGAACTCACATCTCCCCCTTTCCAGTCCAGCACGTTCATCGCCGCACCAAACTGGCTGTTGTGTTATAGGATCTAATCATGGCTTATGCAAGAAATCATAGTCATGACTATTTTTAATTGAATCGGTGGGACTACTAGCTCAATCTCCTATTTTACTGTTCATGAAATCCTGGTTTTTCATGTTTCCCTTCATGAAAAGCAGCTGAGTTATTGCCCCAGACTTCCAGTGTGGCCACTAAATGCCCCTCCGTGTTTATTCCCTTGACATTTCTTTGTCCCGTGCAGGTGCAAAAACAGCCAGGCAGGGTGCAGCCCCCCCCCCCCTCCCAGCAAAGCAGACCTGATCTGTAATCCCTCTTTAGGGCCACCAGGAGGGAACAAGAACCCCTCTTTTGCCTTTTCACCACAACACAAAGAATGAATGGTTCAGCACAAAAAATGACGGAAAATTCCTTCCAAGGCAGTTCTTCATTAGATCCCAGGAATCACATTACCATCCAAATAGTTTAGCATTTATTTGATTAGCTGCTTATGCTTTTTATGCTTTCAAGTTGCACAGAACTTTGCAAGCATCAACATGAATTAAGATTTCTTAGCAACACAGGAGGAAGGTTAACATTAACCCGGGGAAATTCAGTTACTTGTCATCCAACCTTTTACTACTTCTGATGGGTTTGTTTATAGCTGGATACCTAATTGTCAAGGTGGCCTTTGCATCCCACCTCCTCTCTGCTGACAGAAGGGGCGTGGCTGCTGCCTTCAACTTAGAACAGAATCATAGAGTTGGAAGGGAGTTTTTGAGGTCTTCTAATTCAATCTCCTGCTCCAGCAGGAGACCTAAATCATCTGTTCTATAGTTCTACCATCTGTTCAAGCGCCAGGGCTTTCCTCAGTATAGCAAAATTCTTGGCTGCCCAAAGAGCCCTTTCTGCCATGGGAAGGAAACTGCAGACCACCGGCCCAGAGCCCCCCCCACCCCCAGCTGTGTTTGGATTCAGGGGCACCTTGGCGTACAGGGACTGTGCGCAGCCGGGGGGGCCCTCCTGGACTTCCTGCCCTCCTGGACTTTCTGTGAGAACAGGGAGTCATTCAGTAGCACAAGGAGCGGGGGGGGGGGGTATGCATCTGAAGCAGCGATTTGCAGCCTTCTGAGGGAGGGGAGGGTGTCATTCCTTGGAATAATGCCTGGAGAGGTAGACATTTTTCCCATCGTACTCCGATGTGGTCAGGCACTTGAGAAAGAAGTGCCCCAGGTCATGCTTTGAGATGACTCGGGAACCACTCGAAGTGTTCACAGTGACGGTGTAGTCGCCAGTGAGGGGCTGGTCACCTGCAGAAGGAAGAACACCCGTTGCCAGAAGCTGCATGCAAAGTCCAACGGGGTCAGCCAGGCAGCCCTAACACCTGGCTCAGCCCCAGCTGGCTTCTTCCTGGTTTCTGGAATAAACCACAATGGTAGTTCTATCACACAACTCAATGGAAAACCAATCCAGTCATGGGGTGGCATTTACCTTGGGACAAGCAGATCCAGCTCACTCTTAGTTTAGCACTGGAAATGGGGCACATTTCTACCTTAGGGGGTTTCTGGGTTACTCCACTGGTAGAAAATGGTTGTTGGAGGGGGGGGGGGTTTGCATGATTTTGCTGACTACCTCCACAGTCACAAACTCTTCCTGCACCCAGACTGAGCCGCTGCTTGCTGGCCACTGTTCCCCCACTACCCAGATCTCTACCCAAGACACACCTGCAATGTGGGGTGGCATGACGTAGACACAGTCCAGGCCTGACTCCTTCAGGATCTGCTGCATCCGGATGTGGTCTTCGGTCACTGGCTGCATTTTGGCAGGAACCTTGTCCGGATCCCACATCAGGAAAGCTACAAGAACACCACCACCCCCGAGAAAAAACCCTGATTGCAGAAGGTTGTCTTCCCTTCTGGGGGGCAGCCCAGGCAGAGTCAACTCAGCTCCCCTGTTTGCGGGGAGAGGAGGAGAGCACTCGAGGGCCTTGGGAACCCCAACACCTCAAGATGAATGGCGAGAAGGAAAGGGCGGTGGAGACCAAGGAAGGCAACCCCCACCCCCCACAGGAATCCGAGGTAGCTCTGTACACCCCATGGGCCCCAGGGAGTCCCCGCCCCCTATTTGGTCTAGAGAAGAGCAGAGGTGGGGCCAGCCCCCCACTGACATTCATTCCCTCCCAACCTCCAACTGCCTGGCCAGTGGAACCATCTCTCCATTCTCTTGACTCCCAGAGACCCCCAAGGAAAGCCGGGCCAACAGAGAGGTGGCAAGGGGGGAGCGGTTCTGACCCCTCGCTCAGTGGGAGATCCTGTCCAGGAGGCAGGAGGATGTGACCTCCGGGCTTTCCACGGGGCACCTACCTGAGAGGCAGACCACCACTTTGCTGATGCCGTAGGACTTCATGGCGGCCACGATGTTCCGCGTGCCTTCGGACATCATGGTGGTGGGACCTGAGAGGAGGAGAAAGAAACGCACCTGAGCCAAAAGTCTCAGGACAGGGAGAGGCTGGGGAGGAAGTACAACTGCTCCTACTGAGGTCATTGCGGGTGCCCAAGATGATGATCACGGCGTCCTGCCCCCTCACCGCTCGATCAACGTCTGCCGGGTTCAGCACATCTCCCACCACCACTTGTGCTGGCTGGAGCTCAGGGGGCAGCCGGACAGGATCCCGTATCAGCACTGTCACCTGGTAGCCTGGCAAGGGGGAAGAGAAAGCAGCTGGTCAAGGCAGGGGTGGGATTCTACTGGTTCGGATGGATTGGGCAAACTGGATGTTAAATTTGCATCTGGCTTGTCGAACTGGTATTTGAACTGACCGGCTGCCTCCCCCCACCCCCACCCCTCTCAGGAGTCTCCACGTGGCCCATTTTTGATGAAGGTAAGTGCAGGGTCCATGTGGAGGTTTTTTGGGGGGTGGGGTGGGGAAACAGGCCTTCCAGAAGTCTGGAAACGGGCCTGTTTCTGGCTTCCAGAGGACCTCCAGAGCCTGGGGGAGGCCATTTTCGCCTTCCCAGAGGCCCGACAGAAGCTTCCAGACCCTTGGAAAGGAGAAAAATGGCCCTCCCTGAAGTACCCGTGGGCCGCGCCCACCATGGCCACATCCACCCAGCAACTGGGCAGCGAACGAGCTGCTGGGATTTTTGAATCCCACCCCTGGGTCAAGGCATCCTCCCCTCAAGCTCTTGAAGGGAGCAGCAAAGGAACCCTCGGAGCAGGCTGGGGAAGAAGGCCTCAGCCCTCTGCCCGAATGGCTTGGCGATGGGGGGGGGGGGCTTGAGAGGAGGAATTTCTGCCCCCACCCTCCTGGCAAGCGCTCTCGCCTGTCCTCCTGCTCCTGCCACCTCTACGGACAAAAGGGAGGAAGGAAAAGATTTCAGTGCCCGATTTCCTCGTCCCAGTCCTCTTGCTGCAACACTTTATGTTCCGTTTAACATCTAATTGTCTCCTCGGGTTGTTCAGCAATAAATGCTTTATATTTCTTCTTGGGTTATTCACAACCTAACAAATAAGCTACAGAGGAAATGCTAAACCTTTTAGCCTGGCAGAATTTTTGTATTACAATTTTTTGTGTGGTAAAACATTCTCCTCTAAAGCCTTCTTCAACCACACCAGTCTTCTTTAGGGACTATTTTAGGGACTGTCCTGCCCGTGAAGGACATTTTATGCCACTTGCTAACCTTAAATGGACTGTTCCCACTAATTCCCCTTGTTGTGGAAGAGTTTTTCCTTTGAACATTAACTTGCTTTGGGCAATTCTGGCATTTCCCCCGGCCTCTGTGCCAAGTCTGGGAGCCTAGGACCAACCCCCTGTAGGCAGCTTAGCCCCACTTAAATGTAGTCTCCTCTCCAGGGGATTGAAGCCTCCTTGACTTTCCCCTTTCATGGCGTCTCCACAAGGAAGAGGACCGTTGAAACCTTCTAACTCAGAAGAAGCCCAAGGGCTGGGCCTAACCCTACAATCCCCCAACTCTCACCACCTGGGTTGACCTGTCCAGAGCCCCCCCCCAGCCCCTCCAGTTATGGCTGCAATGGAGGAGCCCTGGGGACCCCTTTTCTCAGGGGACATCCTTATCCAAAACATCCATTGCAGCAAGCTTTGCCCGAACCCCTCTCCCGCCTGTCTTGCAAAAGGGGAACTAGGGAACACCAGCAATAGGTCTCCTCAGCAGAGGTGGACTGCCCCCCCCCGCCCCGCCCCCTTCGTCTTGGCTGGAGGAAAAGGGGGGAGGCAGAACAGCCTCCAGGACTAGCTCAACTCCCAAAGAAGCCATAAGGTCCCTGCAGGGCTGGCCCCGTGCTCTCCTCCTTATCAGGGCACAGCACAGGGCAACAGAGCCGCGGGGAACGCCAGGCAACTTCTGATAGAGTCCCAAGTGCCTAGCCAGCCTGGCCACTTCAGCCTGCCAAGCCCACTGGAACACGACCAGGCCTGCTTCTGGGTTCAGGGCTGCTGTGGGTTTGGGAATACTTGGTGCTGGGCGTCTGGGGAAGCTCCCATAACTTTGCCATTTCCCGAAACCACACTATGGATTATGGTCTCGGTGGTAGCACCAGCACCATGGGATAGCTTGCGGGTGCTGCGCCAACCGGGGAAAGACACCCTTGATCCGGAACCCTTGAATCTCGACCAACCCCGCTTCGCAAACAAACACCACACCGCAGCCCCCGGGTACAAGGAACTCCCCCCTTCCCCAATTGTCAGCCGTTGCGGCGCTTCTCCGGGGAAGCAGGGGGGGGGGAGGGCGGCCCTTCGCGGGTCCCCCGTTTCTTCTGCCGCCCAGGCCGACGCCCCCTGCCCTGCCTCACCCGCCTCCAGGGCTTGCGCCAGGGTGGCCAGGCCCGTCATGCCGGTGGCGCCGAAGATGACGATTTTCTTGTAGGCTGCGGCAGCGGAGCCTCCGGGCGCGCAGCTTCCCTCCATGCCGGCCCGTCGCCTTCTCGCCGCTGCGGCCCAGGCCCAAAGCAAGCCCTTCCGCCTGGAGCTCCGCCCGGGGAGGCAGGGCCAGCGGAAGGCGGCGCCTCGCCGCTTCGGTTGCCCCGCTGGAGAGATCGCCCGTGACCCCCAGCCAGCGGCTCCAGCCCCGCGGGCTCGCTCGGGGTCGCAGCAGAACGAACAACCGAAGCCCGTCCCCTCCGCCGGCGCGCCTGCCTCCCCTCCCCCGCTTCTCGGAAGAGCCGCTCGCCGGCCCTGGGCGCCCGAGGGAAGCGCCCGGGTGGCCGTCTGGAAAGGGGCGGGAGCGGTGGAGGCGGTGGGCATGCCGCGGGATCCAGTCTGAGCCTCCTCGGTCGAGGGCGCTTCCCTCCCTGGGTGTTGCGGCCCGGCCCGGCCCGGGAAAGGGAGAGGAGGAGCCTTACCCGGAGCCCAGCCCGCAGAGAAAAGCTGCACGGCTCCGCCGTGGTTCTTTCGGGCGAGCCGTCCCCGCGCGGCTCTCCGTTCCCTGGCCAAACGCGCGAGCGGGCGGCCCTGGTCAGCCATGCGGGTCCCTCCATCGCGCTTCCTCCGATTTGGCCTGGTCGGCTCCGTTACCGGCGAGAGCAGCCGGCGCCTCCCTCGCGCCTTCTCATCCCAGCTGCCGGGCGTTGCTCCGCCACCGCCGCGCAGCCCTTTCTTCCCAGGCAATCGACGCCCAGCGCTCCAACCGACAGCAGCTGCTCGCGCCGAGAAGCCGGCGAACGGGCGGGCGGCGGCCAAGGACGGGCGCAAGGTGACCCGCTTCGCCCCCGCCTGCTGCCGCAGACCTGCCCGAGCATCTCTCCGGCAGCACGGGAGCTGCTGAGTGGCGGCAGAAAGGAAGCCCCCCTTGTAGCGGGCGCGGCGGCTGCGGGAGGGGGGCTCTCCGGCGTTCGGGGAGGGGCTAAGCGGCGCTCCTGGATTGGCTGCTCGGCCAGGACTGCTATACCGAGACAGGCGTAGCGGCACCGCCGGGCGGCTCTGCTCTGCTCCGGCGCCCGTTGACAAGAGCGCCCGCCAGCAGCATCTCGCCCGGTCGCTGCCGCCGGCCAGGCGGCGGGGAGGGATGAGGCCCCGCAAGTCGCCGGTGCTCAGGTGAGGTTGCCCAGGCGGCGGCGGCTGCGCTCGGGCCTCTGATTACAAGACCAGAGCGGGAGCGGGGGGTGGGGGAGCCGGAGCCGGTTCTCTGGAAGCCTCTCGGGAGGGGAGGGAGCAGGCCGAGAGTCCGGCAGATGGGCCACCGTCCCCGCAGCAGACCTATTCTTCAGGGCGGGAGAGGAGCAGAAAGGTCGCTCCTGCAAGCTCCTGGAGGCTGCGGAAGGGCTGAGGAGGGGGTCTTCTGAACCCCGGGCTGTGTCTGGTCTCATCAGGATAGAAGGAAGTGGTGGGGGTGTCATGCAGGCCCTGCTCTCCTCCCTTGCTCAGCCCGTTTTTGCCAAACAAGGCCAGGGACCCAGGTCCTTCCCTGGCAGGGAGCGCATGAAACAGCACCTCTCCTTTGGCCTTGCAGCCTTGGGCTCCAGATTCCCAAACATGGCAAGTATTTGGGGTGTCCAGATGGATACGTAAATGATGGGCATCAACAATGGGATGAGAGGACCTCTTGCTCCCCTGCAGGGGATCAGGGGGCTTGCTTGGCAGGGGTGGTGCCTTCACCTGCCCTGGGGGCTTGGAGCAAGGGAGCAGGTGACTTGTGCTCAGCCCCATGTGCTGAGTCCCATCAGAGAAGGCATAAGGAATTGCTTCATCCACAATACTCGGCCATCAGCCATTTCCTGGGCCCTGGTGGGCTCACGCCTGGCTTCCTTGATGGCCCCATTCTCTGAGTGGCTCTTTGGGACGGCCAGGCACCCCAAGGCTCCTGGAATCATCTGTGAAAACCCACCTAATGTGGAGAGCCACATTACCTTAAATATGGGGGAGGGGATTATTCTGTCATACCATGTGGCTGTGGCCTGATGCTGTGAGCCTCCTTGAGGGCTTTTTCACTGGTGCAAATCAGCCACTCTCACCCCCCCCCCCCCCCCCCCCCCCCCCCCCCCGCCCCCATTAATCTTTTTAGGATATTCCCTCAGCATAATTTGCCTTTCAGCCCGTCTTCCCCAGCAATAAATAAATATATATTCCATGCCTGCTGCTCTACAGAGGGTGACTTTTGTTGGGGTCGGACTTTGTCCTTCCACCCCCACTCTCTTCCTACATTGACTCAGGTTCCAGCCCCCACCCTCCATAATTGAAGCTGCAGCTGCTTCTGCCCCAGATTTTTTTGGGGGGGTGGCAGGCACTTCTGATTCCCAATCTTCTGAATGGTCCAGGCAAGGGGAGAAGAGATAAGTCGTGGCTTCTGCGGGGCTTCTGTATGCAGAAGATTTTGGACACACACACACACCTCCAGCTAGTAGGGCAGTCTAGCTGCCTTGAGGGTGTCCAGGTTGCACCCCGAGGGAAAGGGGGGGCTAGTTCAAACAGAGGAGCTATGCCGCCCTCTCATTTGCTCCAGGGGACAGCAAAGGCCTAAGCACCAAATTGCACGCTCTTGCGTTGGGTCTTTTCTCAGCCTTGCCTAGCTGGCTACACCGGAGACTGGTTGAAAAGGGGGGCGCATCTGCCCCCCTACATTCTCACCAGAGAATCACCCAGTTGGTGACATCTCAGTCTTTGGGGCCAGGTGGAGGCATCGCAAAGCAGGTGTGCCCAACAAGTGCTCGCTTTAGAGAGTTGCCATTTTCTGTTTCATTCTTTCTTTGGAATTCTGAACTCAGCATGTAAGTGGCTGGCGCAGCTTCAGGGATTCATGTCTCCACTTTATGGGGCTCCCAAGCGAGCAGCAACATGGCAAACGTTGCACCAGTCCAGCTGGATAACCAGGAGGCCCAGCAGCAACTCAGCAATGCCCGATGGGAGGGCACCGACCCCCCCCAGCCACGGCCTTGGGAGGAGGCCACGGCTACCGTCAAGCTGTTCGAATGCTCACGGATCAAGGCCCTTGCGGGTAGGCCTTCCTTCCACCTGGGCTCCTCTTGTTGGGCGGGAAACGAGGTGCCCATGGGGAGGGGCACCAATGGACTGGGGGAGGATGCTTCCCCTCTGAAAGAGGGTTTGTTTCAGAAGGATCTTCCTTAAGGGGGGAGGATGGGGGAGGCCGGCAGGTGTGCCTGCCTGGTGCTGAGCCCTGAAATGTGTGTGTGTGTGGGGGGGATTGCTGGACCAGGTCCCAGGAATCTCCAGGGGGGCAAGGCCCCTGGAATGAAAGATTTAGCCCCGGGAAGAGTGAGAAGGAAAAGCTGGACGGGGGATCAGGCCCCATTGTGGCTGTCCTCTCTCTGTTTAAACACCACCAGCAAGAAGGGGCTGGGGGCTGGGGGGGCTGCAGCTGGGGCCCCTTTCCCAGAAGGCCAATGAAAATGTAAAACTCCCTGGGGCTGCAGGATGGCCTTCAGCCCCACCCTCCCCCAAGGACAGCGCTTGGGGGGCAGGGGAGCCTTCTCTGCGGGGTGAGAGGTCAGCCTAACACCCCCCCTAACACCCAAATGTTGCCAGATGAGCGAGACACAGTGCAGAAGAAGACTTTCACCAAGTGGATCAACTCCCACCTGGGCCAGGTCTCCTGCCGAATCGGCGACCTTTATACCGACCTGAGGGATGGATACCTGCTGACCAAGCTGCTGGAAGTTCTGTCTGGGGAGCAGCTGGTATGGGGGTCTCTCAGCTTCTTCAGTTGCCTCTTAGGGCAGAGGGACTGGTCACTCCTGTAAAGGGGGTGCACTTTCTGACAGTCGGAGTCACCTCGATTTTTGCTGGATAACTTCAGGTCTCAGGGCCCAAGGGGGACTGGGCCCCGAAAGGGAAGTCAGTGAAGGGAGGGAGGGGGGAGGGTCCGGCCAGGGTGTTCCCTGCCCCACACTTGCTCTCTGCAGGGCTGTGAGGGGCTGTTGAGAAGGATGGTTGGTCAAGGCAGAAGGCAGGGCTGTTTTGTTGTCAGTCTCTTAACCAAATTCTGCAACCGGTGGTAAATGCAAGCTAGTTTGCCACCGCTGGAAATATGACCATGTGATGGTGCTGTTGAAGATGAGTTCTAAGTAACTCTTTTCTAGTCTGTTGCAACTTTGAAGAGTCATTAAATGATTGGTCGTAAGTCAAGAACTACCTGTCAGTGTTACCTTTGCTGTGACTTAGAAACATAGAATATTTTTGTTTTATTGCATTTGTGCAATTTTAAAGGTTGACATTTTTACTTGTCAATTCTGAATGTGCTTAAACTGCCCTGATGTTATGTTTTGATTGGCTTCCGTGGCAGCCTAAACCCACCCGGGGGAGGATGCGGATCCACTCCCTGGAAAACGTGGACAAAGCCCTGCAGTTTCTGAAGGAGCAGCGGGTCCACCTGGAGAACGTAGGTTCTCATGACATTGTGGACGGCAACCACCGCCTGACTCTGGGCCTCATCTGGACCATCATCCTGAGATTCCAGGTAGAGGGGGACCGATGGGGCCGTGCCTGGGCAGCTGGGCCAGTCCGTCTTGCTTCCCTCCGCTCCCCAGAAGCAGGAATAGCTAGAACCGTATTCTGTGCAGGTCACAAAGAGTTTGGGGAGGGATGGGCACCCTGGGCAAAAGAAGCGGGGAGCCGGCTGGTTCTAGGGCAGGGCAGGGAAGGCACCTATGGAAATGAAAACGGGGCTGGGGAGCGGGCTGAACGCAGGGGAGCTTTGGCAAACGGAGAGCCAAAGGACCCCCCTCTCCTGCTTCCCCTCCCAGATCCAGGTGATTAAAATTGAGACAGAAGACAGCCGAGAGACGCGCTCGGCCAAGGATGCGCTGTTGCTCTGGTGTCAGATGAAGACGGCAGGGTGAGTGCTGAACAGGGTGCAGGCGGCCCTGACAACCGAGAGGTGGCAGTGCTGGGAGCAAGGGCTTTCCCCCTCGGAAGGGTCCTCTCCTGCCTGGATCTGGGCAGGCAGCCTGGCAGTGGGCAGGTGGTCCCTGGGGCCTGCAGCTGCCTACTGGCCTGGAGGGGGAAGTAAGGTCCCCCTCCCTATCTTAAGCCGCCCTGGTTCAGAAGAGGCCGCTCCTCCTTTT